TTGTAATTTAGTCCACGGGCTAACGCCGGTAGCTTATGCTAACCAGCTGTCACCACACCGGCTTTCCTCCCTCGACAGGGGGCGCAAAAACCTCCTCGCCCCACCTGCTCTTAGGTCCATGTTCCTGACGTTCTGCCATCATCCAGTGGCAGGACTGCTCCACAATTCTGTCGCAGATCTTCTCCGGATCCAGTGGATTGCACCAACAAGAATCTAAAGTAACAAACAAAACCGATGGCAGAAGCAAAACGCTAACAGAAACAGAGTCAGCAACAGAAACAGTGACAGAAACAGTGACAGCAACAAACAATGACCCGACACCGAGTGGTCGGGCATCAAGTCTTTTAAAGTGACCACTAACGACACAATGACCAACAGGTGTGCAGCTGGAGGCGGAGCCGTACAGTGCCACCTGTTGGTCACAAACAGATCCATGACAGTTGGTGTGTCATCAGGATTGTGAATGTTTTGGACACGGGTGAAGAGAGGCGTGGATTGTCAACTGATCATCACTTGGTAGTGAGTTGGTTACAATGGTTGGGGAAGAGGCCAATCTGACCAAGCAGAGCCATATTTAGTATGAGAGTCTGTTGGGAACATCTGGCAGAGTCTCCTGTCATAAGGAGTGCAGATGTGCTCATCACTCTTCCACCATGCCACCCTGTCATCTACAAAGAGATTTAAATAGTATTACACTCTAATATACGGTATATTGGCTGTGCAATACGCCGGATGTTGCTGTGTCATGGTCATCCTTTCTTGGATGAATAGATGCCGGCGTTTCATAAAACGAAAGCACCAAGCACCATGTATGAGTTGATCTTGAATTCTCTCGTGGCTGCTTGATTCCCATAGTCATCTGCGTAACTGATATCTTGCAGTTTCAACTGTGCTTTGTAAGCAGTCCCTTTGTAGGTGCCATTTTCAGGGGTCCTGAGCCAAACTTATTTTGTTTAGCACAATGTACATCCCAGCACTATAGATTCCTACTGGGGGCGTACCGTTTGCATCCTCTTTCACGCCCACCCTTCCCACTTTGACCATATTTTCGCTTCCGGGGTTGGACGCAGGCGTGTATGTTGCCGCTTCTCACTCCGAGCTCTATTAAATTCAGATCATCCTTCTGATTTTTCATTTGCCCTTCTGCTTGGACTGTGGGTACTCTGATTGATACAACTTGAATCATCACTTAATCTGATCAATCAAACCCCATTGTAATTTAGTCCACGGGCTAACGCCGGTAGCTTATGCTAACCAGCTGTCACCACACCGGCTTTCCTCCCTCGACAGGGGGCGCAAAAACCTCCTCGCCCCACCTGCTCTTAGGTCCATGTTCCTGACGTTCTGCCATCATCCAGTGGCAGGACTGCTCCACAATTCTGTCGCGGATCTTCTCCGGATCCAGTGGATTGCACCGGAGCCTCCGCCACCGGAGCTGCACCATCATCCGGACATTGCTCGCCTGCCTCGACGTCGCTACATCCACCGCGGGTCGCGCAGACATGTCGAGCACAAAAACTCCGGTTCAATCAACTCGACCTGGTCCACTTCTCGACGCCATCCCAGAAACTCCGGCCGCAACATCAACCATCATGCATTGGCCCGCCTGGCTAGGTCGGCTAACAGAACTGCTGCCGTCAAACACGACACCTCTGCCGTCAACTTTGGTCTGCTGAACATCCGCTCACTGACGAGCAAAGGACACCTCATCCAAGATGTCCTCACCGACCACAAACTCGACTTTCTCATTTTAACAGAAACCTGGCAACAGACGAACGACTTCTCTGCTTTGAATGAATCGACTCCTCCCGGCTTTGTTGACATCTGCCGTCCCCGTGGCAACGACCGTGGAGGAGGTCTCACGGTTATCCACCGCGTGAAATGAAAAGTCCTGCCCGTCTCCGTTCCTGCATCAAGCTCTTTTGAATGCCTGGTTTTTAAGCTCCCTGGACCCGCACCAACCATCATCGCTACAGTTTATTGCCCCCCGAAGCCACATGGTGATTTTATCAATGAATTTTCCAGCCTAATCACACATCTATCCACTCTCGCCAAATTTAATTTTTCTGGGAGATTTCAATATTCACGTGGACAACCTCAACCTGCCATTCACCAGAGACTTCGCATCCTGTCTGGAGAGCCTTGGGATACATTGTCTCATCGACTTCCCACCCACATCGAAGGCCACACATTGGATTTGGTTTGCTGCTCTGGTCTCTCCCCCTTCAAGCCCACTGCTGATGTTCTTCCTGTAACTGACCATTTCCTCCTCACTTTTAACACCATACTCTGCCTTTCTACAATCAAAATCCCCCGCCTCATTTCTTTTTGTAACACCAAAAATATCAACATTGACACCTTCCGCTCCATTATCGACCGTTCCCTGCCCCCAGACACTGTTTCAAACCCAGACGACCTCATCGCTCACTACAGCACCTGCTCACAAATATTCTCAATTCTCTCGCCCCCCTGAAAACCAGGACTGCTTCCTTCTCCACATCTGCCCCCTGGTTTACACCTGCTCTTAGGTCCATGAAATCAGAAAACCGCTAACTTGAGCGTCTCTACAAGAAAATCAGTCTCACCATCCATTAGGACATGTACACCACCCATATCACTCAATATAAGGACCTAATTGCACAAACCAAATCCACCTACTCCTCCGGCCTCATCCTCTCCAACGAAGGAAACTCAAGAACTCTCTTCTCTGTCATGAACAAAATCCTCCAGCCACCTAATTCTGTCCCCCTCCACCTGTACTCCACAGCAACCTGCAACTCCATAATGGAGTACTTCAGTGACAAAATCCTTAAGATCCATCATCACCTCCATCAAAACCTGCCAGCTCCCTCCCCACCTGAACCGCCTTCTCCTTGTCATCCCATCTCCAGTTTTGTTGCACCCACGACTGCTGAAATATCCAACCTCATACACAAATCCAAGCCCACCACATGCCAGCTTGACCCCCTCCCTTCACCCCTCGTCAAATCCTGCCTCCCTTCCCTGCTTCCCCTCATATCTGCCATTATCCACTCCTCACTTTCTTCTGGAATTGTCCCATCACTTTTCAAAACCACTGCTGTTACCCCCATACTAAAAAAACACGGTTCAGACCCCAATAACTTCGATAACCTCCGCCCCATCTCCAACCTTCCATTTATCTCTAAAATCCTTGAAAAAAACTGTTGCTGCTCAACTCCACTCCCACCTATCCCTCCACTCCCTCTATGAACCTTTTCAATCTGGTTTCCGTCCCCGCCACAGCACGGAGACCACCCTAATCCGAATTGTAAACGATCTCCTCATAGCAGCTGATTCTGGTTTAGTCTCCATTCTCAACCTCTTAGACCTGAGTGCCGCCTTTGACACCATCTCTCACCCTATCCTCCTCAATAGACTCTCCTCCATTGGTCTCTCCCACACTCCCGTCAGTTGGTTCCACTCCTACCTCACCGGCCGCACTCAGTTTGTCCAGCTCAAATCCTTCACTTCAAAGCCCTCCCCAGTCACCACAGGTGTACCCCAGGGATCTGTCCTAGGGCCCCTTCTTTTCATCTAACCTCCTGCCTCTTGGTCATATCCTCCGCAAATTTAATATCCACTTTCACTGCTTTGCTGATGACACCCAGCTCTACCTTTCCTGCAAACCAAACTCCATACTCCCACCCCCCTCGGTCACCTCTTGCCTCTCCGAACTCAAAACATGGTTCACAACAAACTTTCTTAAATTAAATTCGAATAAAACTGAAATCCTCCTTCTTGGCACCAACTCCACTTTATCTAAAGTAAACAGTTTCTCCCTCAACATTGACAGTTCCTCAGTGTCCCCCTCCCCTCAGGTTAAGAGTCTGGCTGTCATCCTTGATAGCACGCTCACCTTCCAGTCACATATCAGCACCATCACCAGCACTGCTTATTTCCACCTCCGCAATATTAACAGACTTCGCCCTCCCTCATCCCCCGCACCACTGCTATTATTGTCCACAGTCTTGTCACATTCCGCTTAGATTACTGCAACGCTCTCCTCTTCGGCCTACCTCAAAAGTCTCTCCATAAAATCCAGCTGGTTCAAAACGCCTCTGCTCGCATCATTACAAAAACACTCTCCCAGCAGCACATCACCCCCGTCCTTCAGCAGCTCCATTAGCTCCCTGTCCAATACCGCATCAACGACAAACTGCTCCTATATACATATATGGCCATCCACAACCTGGCCTCTCCCTACCTGTCCGACCTTCTTCAGGTGCATACCCCCTCTCGCTCCCTCAGATCCTCATCCTCCCTCCGCCTGTCAGTGCCCCCTGCCCGCCTCAGCACTATGGGAGCCAGAGCCTTCAGTCGCGCTGCTCCAAAGCTCTGTAACAATCTACCTCTGGACCTCCAAAACTGTACACCTCTCGCCACTTTCAAATCCCATCTAAAAACACACCAGTTCAGGACTGCCTATAACACATAATTCTTCCATTTTCTCTGTTTTGTGATTTTATGTCCTGTTTTTACTCAATATTTCTCTTATTTATTTTTACATTGTATTGTCTGTACAGTGTCCTTGGGTGGCATGAAAGGCGCTTTTAAATAAAATGTATTATTATTATTATTACTTTAACGTCAGCCTTTCCTTGAAATAAAAGCTTGGTGGCAAAACTTCAGCCAATCAAGCTCAGCGCTTATCAAAGTCACACAACAGCATTCACAGATTTTGGAACTTGGTGCATTATTAGGCGCCTTGACCATTTTGGAGAAAATGTAATACTTTTAAGTGCGCCTTATGGTCGGGAAAATATGGTAAAAGGGTCTAATCTCCTTTTTTTCACACATTTTTCTTAAAATGTCTATCAGCTTGTCATTTAATATTTACCCTCTAACTTGACATTTCAAATGTATAGTGTATTTGAAATCACATTCAAATCAAACTTTAGCACTTAACAGACAACAACAACTCATGTTGGACTCCAAAGAAATCAACATCTCTGGGTTGCCATTGGGATAATAAATGTTACCTTTTGTGGAGTTGCTCCAGCGGTTGCCCTCTGAGTAGTGAGAAAGTGTGAGAAGGTTGACACAAGAGGCTCCAGCCCCTGACCCAAACACAGTTATACGGAGCGGATCACCACCAAAGGCAGCAATATTCTCACTGGTCCAGCGAAGAGCCTGAATTTGGTCCAACAAACCATAATTCCCCTTTGCTGCCTGGTCACCAGTACTCAGGAAACCTGCAGGGGAACGGAGAGGATTGTGATCATATCAAGGTGACAGTTTTGGACGGCATGATAATCAACTGGTTAACACGTACACCTCACAGTGCAAAGGTCATGTGTTCGATTCTGGCCCCAGCCTTCCTGTGTGGAGCATGCAGGTTCTCACCGTGCCTACGTGGGTTTTCTCCGGGTACTCCAGTTTCCTCACACATTCCAGAAACATGCATGGTAGGGTAATGGAACACTCTAAAATATCCCTAGGTGTGACTGTGAACACGAATGGTTGTTTGTCTATGTGTGGCCTGCAATTTGCTGGCAACCAGTTCAAGGTATACCCTGCCCACTGCCCGAAGACAGGTGGGATAAATACCAGCACACACGCGACCCCCCTAGGGAGAAAGCGGTTTGGATAATGAATGAATTAATGAATGGATGGATTGACAATTTTAGCTTTTTGGTTAAAAAGAAAAGTAATTTACTGTGCTGTGATCTGCAGCTCAAACATACAGAAATAGATAATCACTGAATTCTGAATGTTTTTTTTTTTTTTTTTTTTTGTGGCTTTGAGCCTTTCCAATCAGGGTGATGTGACTATGTTTGGCTCTTTTGGGTCATTGATCTTGTTAGTTGCTTTCGTCCTTCATTTGACCTCATCAAGCCCAGGAAGCTCCTCAATCCCGTCAAAAGTTCCCGAAGTCACCAAGAGCTCCACAGAGAACTGATGACCAGCTGTAAACGGTACAGACAAACGCATCACCGAGGACACATTGTACTTCCCTGGGTAGATTTTCAGAGGCGCTGACAAGACGACGACAAGCCGTGAGAGTCAAACACGGTGACAGCCAGCGAGAGCGAGCGACATTCGTTTGGGGCTCCAGCGATCGGTTAGCCCGGCGGCGGCGACGGCGGCCAGCGAGAGCGAGCGACAGGGACGTTCGTTTGGGCCTTCAGCGATCGCGATTGACGGGCCTTCGGTGGCGGCCGTTTTGTGTTCCTGCTGATTTGTGGCGGCGGAGGCGGCGGAGGCGGCGGAGGCGGCGGAGGCAGCGCGGCGCACTCGACCACCGAGGCGGCGTGGGCAGGCGAGGGGGCTCTTCGGAGCTCCAGTGGCGGTCGGCCCTTTGGGAACGGCAGCACACATCATCAACCAGTTGACAGCCGGCAAGCAACGAAACCCGAAAAATGCCGCCCAAAAGGGGACAAGACATTAAACAGGATGAAGAATTGATGACCCTTACGCAAGTCAATGAACTACTCATCCAACAAAAAGAATTGTTCACAGCACTCATGTAGCAACAACAGGATCACTTCAAAGGATGTGTAAAGATGATACTGGACTCAACAAACACACGACTCGACAATTTTTCCAGGGAAGTACAAGAACTGAAATTTAGTCTTAATTTCACCCAAAAGGAGGTCAATGACATCAAAAAACAACAAACGAATGGATCTGACCATTGCAAAACCATGCAAACTGAAATCTTCAAAGTATGTGACAGTATGCTGGTTTGAACCGACAAGATGGACAACTTAGAGGGACTATCTAAAAGAAATAACTTGATAATCGATGGAATTGAAGAAATGCAAGGAGAAACGTGGACTGAAACGGAGCAAAAAGTACAAAAAATCTTCAAGGAGCAACTGCAATTTAAGGAGACAATTGAGGTGGAAAGAGCCCACCGCACGGGGAGACACGAATCGGGAAGACCTCAACCAAGGCCAGTAGTGGTGAAATTTGAAAAATATAAGGACAAAACAATGATATTACAGAGAGCAAAATACTTAAAAGGTACCAAAATCTACATTAATGAAGATTATACAGATATTGTACGTCAAAAAAGAAAAGAATTACTTCCTAAACTAAAAGCGGCACATGAAAGAGGGGAAATTGCCTACTTGAGGCACGACAAACTCATCGTCCACCCCCGCACTAGTACTACAATTCAACGGGCTCGACTTCAACATGCTGAGAGCTGATTACCTCCAGACATAGACTTTGACTTAACTGATATAGGAAACATACAACACAAACATGGACTTTAAAATCTTTGATTATGCTGAACACAAGACATTCGACCCAGAGAACAACTTGGATCCAGACAATAATTTCTTCAATCATAATTACAGCATCACAAACTCCGAGTGTTATTCGCACGAACAATTCAATACAAAGGTAGAACTGAAAAATACGTTTTCAGTGATACACATAAATAGTTGAAGTCTTCATAAAAATTTCACCAAAATCAAAGAATATTTGACTACATTTAATACATTTACAATAATTGCTATATCAGAAACTTGGCTTGATGATGAAAAAACAAGTGAAATGAAAATTGATGGATATGAAATGTATGCAACTCATAGGGAAGA